AGGGGGTTACAGAGGGTTATTAGGGGTTACAGGGAGCTACAAGGGGTTACTAGGGGTTACAAGGGGTTACAGTTGGTTTACGGGAGATTAGAAGGGGTAACAGGGGGTTATAGGGGTTACAAGTGGTTACAGTGGGTTACAAGGGGTTACAGAGGTTTACAGGAGCTTACAATGGGTTACAAGGGGTTACAGCGGGCTAAAAGGGGTTACATGGGGTTACAGGGTGTTACAGGGGGTTACAAGGGGTTACAAGGGGTTACAGAGGGTTACAGGGGAATACAAAGGGTTTCAAGGGTTTACGGGGGTTACAGTTTTTTACAAGGGTTTACAGAGGGTCACAAGGGGTCACAAGGGGTTACAGGGGCCTACAAGGGGTTACAAGGGGTTTTAGGGGATTACAGAGGGTTACAAGGGGTTACAGCGGGGTTACAGCGGGTTACAAGGGGTTACAGACGGTTACCAGGGGTTACAGATTTTTACAAGGGGTTACAAGTTAACAGTAACATCAAAGGGGACTCTCTTGATAGAAGTGGATTGCATTTAAACCGGAAAGGTGTTTACCGCCTTGCGTGTAATTTTAGGGTATATTAATAGACATTGAAATTTGACCTGTGTAGATAGTAAACGACGACCTAATTATCACTGTTCTGCCAAACTAATGTCATTTGATAATACTACTTCTTAAATTAGAGTATTCAAAATTGCCTTGCTCAACCTAAACAGTCTTACTAAACACATAGATTAATTTAAAGTCGTTATGGCAAATAAGCCCCTGGATTTTTTGGCTATTAATAAATCAAAATTGATTGATAGTTATCGACTGGATACTCTACAAGGTTATAATATTGTTCGCAGGGATAGAAACAAACACAGTGGTGGAGTTTTCTTTTACCTGCGAAATACAATAACATTTTCTAGGCAATATCAACTTGAAAATGATCTTGAATTAATTGCCTTAGAAATTCAGAAACCAAATTCATCTCCATTTCTTATTGCTACCTGGTACCGGCCACCAAACACACCTTTGGATTATTTTAAAAAATTCGAAATGTTTTTGAAGGAGGCGGATGCCAGGTATTCAGAAATTTACATACTGGGAGATTTAAACTGTAATATTCTTTCAAATCCCCCAGAGGTTCACACTACCCATTTATTGGACTTGATGGTTGATTATCAATTGGCAGGATTAATCAAAGAACCTACAAGAGTTAATGCCCAATCGCAAACTCTTATTGATGTATTTATTACGAACAAGGAAGATAATATTTCTCATTCGGGAGTATACACACTTTCCTTTAGCGACCACAATTTAATTTATGCTGTTAAAAAAATTGGTTTACCCAGGGGACAACCAAAGTTTATTTAATCGAGGAATTTAAAACATTTCAATGAGGAAAATTTCTTAACAGATCTGAAAACTGCCATATGGCCTGTTATTAAAAGCGGTATGAAAGTGAATAGTGCGTGGAATGCATGGAAAGATATATTTTTGAATATAGTTAATAAGCATGCTCCGTTAGAGAGGGTTACAATGGATTACAAGGGGTTACAGAAGGTTACAGGGGGTTACAAGGGATTACAAGGGGTTTCAGAAGGTTACAGGGGGTTACAAGGGGTTACAAGGGGTTAAAAGGGGTTACGGAGGGTTACAAGGGGTTTCAGAGGGTTACAAGGGGTTACAAAGAGTTACAGGGGGTTACAAGGGGTTACAATGGGTTACAGGAGGTTACAAGGGGTTACAGGGGGTTACAAGGGGTTACAGAGGGTTACAAGGGGTTACATAGGGCTACAGGGGGTTACAAGGGGTTACAAGGGGTTACAGGGGGTTACAAGGGGTTACAAAGGGTTACAAGGGGTTACAGAGGGTTACAGAGGGTTACAGGGGGTTACAAGGGGCTCCAACGGGTTACAGAGGGTTACATAGGGTTACATAGGGTTAAAAGAGGTTAAAAAGGGTTACAAGGGGTTACAGTGGGTTACAAGGGGTTACAAGGGGTTACAGAGGGTTACAAGGTGTTACAAGGGGTTACAAGGGGTTACGGAGGGTTACAAGGGGTTACAAGGGGTTACAGAGGGTTACAAGGGGTTACAAGGGGTTACAGAGGATTACGAGGGGTTCCAAAGGGCTACAGAGGGTTACATAAGTTTACAAGGGGTTACAGGGGGTTACATTGGGTTACAAGGGGTTTCAAGGGGCTCCAACGGGTTACAGAGGGTTACATAGGGTTAAAAGAGGTTAAAACGGGTTACAAGGGGTTACAGAGGGTTACATGGGGTTACAAGGTGTTCCAAGGGGTTACAGAGGGTTATATAGGGTTACAAAGGGTTACAGGGGGTTACAAGGGGTTATAAAGGGGTTACAGGGGTTTGCAAACTACTACAGGGTATTACAAGGGGTTATCAGGGGTTACATGGGGTTGCAAAGGGTTACAAGGGATTACAGTCGGTTAGAAGGGGTGACGGGTGTGACAGGAGGTTACAAGGGGTACAGGGGAAATAGAAATTTGAACCCCTTTGGAAAGTTCTAATGTTTCGTTTTTCAGAAACAGAAGTTTTTATAGTCTTTAAAGACTTTTTTTTGTCGAGAACGTCAGGATACACTTTTTCTTGATCTATTTTTGATAAAGACAAAAGATGAAAAAATCATGCATGAAGTATCCCCTTTTGAAAAATGCCAATTTTGCATTTTTTTATATCCATGTTTCTATTGTCTGGAAAGGCTTGGTTTCTAACGAGAACATCACCAAATAATTTTTTTAGGTGTGTTTTACATAAAACGAAGCCCACCCTTTTTCACTTTCGTCATTTTATCCCCTTTTCTTCATTTTGGTCATTTTTGAGCCCACTCCTATGCTATTTCGGTCATTTTGGCGTGTTTGTTTATTTTCATCAGTTTGGCCCCTTTGTTCATTTTGATAATTTTGGACTCTCTGTTTCTTTTGATCGTCTTGTTCAATTGTTCATTTTGGCCCCTTTTTTCAATTTACTCATTTGGGCCATGTACTTTGTCCCCTCTGGTTATATTGGCCCCTTTGTCCAATTTACTCATTTTGGGCACTATGTTCATTTTGGTTATTTTGGCACCTTTTGTTCGATTTGATAATTTTGGCCCCTTTTGTTCAGTTTGCTCACTTGGGCCATGCACTTTGTTCCTTTTGGTTATATTGGCCCCTTTGTCCAATTTACTCATTTTGGGCACTATGTTCATTTTGGTTATTTTGGCACCTTTTGTTCGATTTGATAATTTTGGCCCCTTTCTTGAATTTGCTCATTTGGGCCATGCACTTTGTCCCTTTTGGTTATATTGGCCCCTTTGTCCAATTTGTTCATTTTGGTTATTTTGGCACCTTTTGTTCGATTTGGTTATATTGGCCCCTTTGTCCAATTTGTTCATTTTGGGCACTATGTTCATTTTGGTTATTTTGGCACCTTTTGTTTAATTTGATTATTTTGGGCCCTTCGTTCATTTTGGCCACGTTGTTCAGTTTGGTCATTGTTTTCATTTTTTTTTCTTATTTGTCCCTTTATTTAGTTGGTTCATTTTGGTCACTTTCTTCAATTTTTTCTTTTTTAACCCTCTTGGTTCATTTTGAACATTTTGGACCCTTTGTCCAATTTGCTCATTTTGGGCACTCTGTTCATTTTGGATATTTTGGCACGTTTTGTTCAATTTGATAATTTTGGGCCCTTTGTTCATTTTGGCCACATTGTTCATTTTGGTCATTTTTTTTCATTCTTTTTTTCTTATTTGTCCCTTTGTTCAGTTGGGTCATTTTGGTCACTGTTTTCTTTTTTAACCCTATTGGTTCATTTGAACATATTGGACCCTTTGTTTATTTTGATCACTTTGGCCACGTTGTTCATATGCATTTTGATCATTTTGATCTCCTTTTTTCCCTTATTACTTTTTTGCCCTTTTGTTTGTTTTGGTCGATTTGACCTCTTTGTTCATTTTAGTCATATTGCTCAAATCCATACAGTTTTGTATTGCCATTTAACTGTGTTTTTTTTTTTGGGGGGGGGGGGGAGGGGGGCTTAACAAAGGTGAATCAATGTATAGGTCGTTTGTAAAAAAGGGCTGCAGCAGCAATTATAATAATATGGTCATTAATGCATACCTCGTTGTGCGATTGGTCATTTTCCGGTCGGCATACCAAGTATTATACGGACCTAAGCTTAAGCTTGATATCAGTTCTCCTCTTCTTAATGCTGCGGCAGCTGCAAATTTTCAAATATCCACCAAAAAGCTCATGAAAGTTAATCTTCACGTTTTCGTTTGTTAAACCTTTTTAATACGCTTTTAAATTTGCTTGCTCAAATACAAATAGGCCCGTGAAACCATTTCTCTCTTTTTTTTTTTTTTATAAAGGCGACACCTGTATAAGCTTTAAACATCTTATCAGTCTCGTTTTCTCGGTTCTTATTGTAAGTTAAGTTACAGTTTTTCTTTTCACTCGGAACATCGAACGAAAAATATCACTCTAATTAAAGTTCGGATCTCAAATTAAGCTTATGAAAAGCATTAGTTGCTGCATTGCAGATAGTTTACTTGACTGGTCTTTAGGTATCATTTAACTAAACAATATATTCTGTAGGATATATTAGGAAGAAAAACTCAAGAAGGAAATTTACAATTAAAAGCTTAAAAATTAGAAAAAATAATTAATCGGCAAATAATTTCAAGGAGTTAGCGCGATTAGCGACTGATATCTTTTTTTGCAACCATTTGCTTCTCAAAAAGCCCCCTACAACACAGCTTTCTCAGAGCGAAAAAGGATTAATTATTACTGATAATGCGACGTGTTTAAAATAACGTTTAATTTATGCCCTGGAGGCAAAGCCGGATGGGATTAAAAGTAAACAGAATCGAAAATGAAACAGCAGGTTTAAAATCGAAGATGAGGTCGAAATTAATGAAATTTGACTGACTGTGACATCCTGGTGACAGATGTCGCGTATTATTCCCACGTAGTTACAGCATACTGAGTCGCTATAAAAGCCTGTGTTTGACTGAAGAATGTCAGTCGAGTGTCCATGAAATAATATGTAGGATTCTTTTTTTTTCCGTCAAAATGCCTACTGGCCTGAGAGTTGCATTCGGTGTCATTGGGACATTTGCCATTTTAAACAACGCTTTGTTGTTGGTAGTTATTTTAAAGAATCGGTCCATGCTAAAAACGCCGTACAACACGCTAGTTTTAAGTTTGGCCATCACTGACTTTATCACAGGTAAGTACAATAATATGTTTGTAGTTTTTGTATTGTGTGTTCTCGGCCTGTGTTGTGTATTTTGCATAGGACGAAAATAACGTGAAACTTTTTTCAAACGGACATGATCGTCAGCCGAAAGTCCTAAAGAATTTCACGCTTCGTTTTTGGGGTAAACCGAATTTTAATTCAGCGGGAATCTATATAAAGGGAAGAATAGCAAAGGGAAAAAGTGGATCCACCGCCTTAATTAAAAACAAGCCCACATTTTACCATCGCTAGATTTGTTTACTGTCCGTTGATTAAACCTTGCTTCCTTATTATCTAGCTTTCTGGTTGCAGCATGTGAATTCTCAGCCTATGACAATCAGCACTCTATAAAACTTATCACCAAAAGGGGATTTTGATTCACAGTACACGCATGAGTCTTTGGTATTGAAAGAGGTCGTAAGGAACTCAAGAAGGGGTAGTTAGAAAACGTTTGACTGCACGATAAAATGTTTACATTCTTAGTAAACAAGGTTTCAGTTTTCACCCTTGAGCAAGATAATGGCTGAATTATATAACCGCGAGAAAAGGGACAGGTTTGGTGTCATGGTGTTATTTAACGCACTCGCCCTAACATTATCATTAAACAAAATTTCGCTTTCTGAAAATGTTAAGAGGAACTTCTAGGCAAGATGGCTGGGCATTTTCGGAAAGACGGCTTCCTGAGCAGCTGGAAAAAATAAACAGAATAAATATGCCGTCAGATAAAAAATATGAGAACGAAATTCCCGATCGGTCGTTAGTTTTCCTTCAAAATCCGTAGAATATTCGGTAGTTAACAATTAGTGAACAAGGTTACTTACACGTATGCTTGGGGGCATTGCATTGTATCTGAGCTAGTAAAAACCAGCAGAGCAGAAGATAACGCAGATTTCAAGTGTTCCGATTTCAATTTATGGTAGGCCGGCCTGCCTTCAAAACTGAGAGGAATGCAAAAATATAACTTGTTTGGTGTAGGTTAACTAGTTTTAGTGAAAAATTGTGGGTCTCTTTCAGTGGATTTTACATTATTTTAGGTTTAAATTTTGTTCCTTAATTTCATTTCGCCCTGGAGGAAAGCGAAATATGTTCAGAAAATACTTCTCATAGTGCAAATATCACTGACAACTTTGTCTATGTTTTCGCCGGACTTGACATTTTCTTCTACGAGAAGGGAAAACGAATTGCCAAAGTAAATTTGCACCTTGTTAGCCCCTCCATTTAGCTTTTTTATATTAATTATTTATATAATTATTTCAGCTACAGCTGCTCCAAAGGATATTAAGGCTTTTAATGTGAGGCAGTTTTTATTTTATTGCTTCGATTTATTTGCAACGTTGACTTCCACATGAAAAATGATCAGTCAAATTCAGAAGTACGAGCCTAAAATATGGTCAAAATTCTGGAGTTTCAAATTACTGAATTCCGGAACGAGCCCTTCTCTTAAAAAGCACTGCCTCGTTTATTTCGTCATCATATCATTTAAATAATGGTCTTTATATTGTAAATATTAGTTTCCAGTCTGGTTAAACATGGCAGGTTGTCACTGCCGTATAAATATTTCGAATTTGATTCTCATCATTCTTAAAATAGATTAGAACCAATCTTAGTAACCTTTGTGTAAACTGGTGACTTGCATGACTTTTCTCTTGTTCGTACTATATTATACATGCATTTTGCTTCAAAATTCATTTTGTTTCATTTATCTTACATTAGTCTTATAAAGCGTCATTTCAACTTTAAGTTGAACTTTAGTTAGTTGTTGTAGTTTTTGGTTTTGTGGAGAATTTGTCTTAATTTATGAAGGTGTAGCAGATGGACCTAGGCCTTGGATAAAATTTTGTCGCATGGGGTACGGGAAAATGAAAAATGAGGAAAAATCCTAACTTAAACCCCCCTGCCCTACCAGTAACTTCGTCTCCAATTCTCTGTTTTGTTCTCACTTTTCATTTTCCTCTTTCTCGTGCTCGCTCCCCCATTCCCCGTTCCCCGTTCCCCGTTCCCCGTTCCCCGTTCCCCGTGCTCGTTCCCCCCGTTCTCCGTTTCCCGTTCTCGTTCCCCCACTACCCTCTATATTCCCCGTTTTAGTAACATTTTGAACAAAATAATGGAGCGGGTGTATATGTTTGTTACATGTGCTATATGTCGTGCACTAATACGTGTCGTGACAATTCTTTCATTTTAAAAGGAGAGATGTTGAATACCAATGAGATCTTTCTCGATAAACATTTCAAAGTAATGACGTCAGTGTTGATCCATTGAGATCTTAATCCTAAAATTAATTAAACTCGCCTAAAACTAATGATAAACTGCTGACATTAAACATTCATTAAATGTGTTCAGAAAAAAAGTGGCCAAAAAGTTTGACTAAGTGCACGCAATGACAGATATTTATATAAATTCGAACTAAATAGAAAATTATGTCATTCAGTAAAAAAGTCACCTCTTTACTTATGACACTGACTCAGATTTGCATTTTCACATGTCTTTACTGAATCACCTCCTAGCACCAGTGTACCCTTCATATCACTGAGCGGCCCGTGTGAATGTTTAGATCAGTAAGACTAGTAAACAGGGGGTTCTGTTGAATTCATAAACCATGAATGATGTCCATTAAGGTGATGTTACATGGGACGATTTGCAACGACGACTTTTAGCTCAACACAGCGTTACAACATTGTTTCTACATCGTTGCGAAAGGTTGCAACAATGTTCCAATGTTTGAACCCTGTTTGGCACTATCGCCGTTGCAAATCGTCTCGCGTAACATCACCTTTATGGCGGGTGGAAAGCTTACCTTCACACCTATATTCAGTCTAAGACCTTTTAAGAAGTGCTTCATAAACTGTACTTTTTGCTGGGCCAACCAATAAATGATCTGCGCTAAAATAAACAATTTATATGGCTTGCCATTTCTCCTTCTAAACATATTATAAAAAATAATAATCTACACTCTTTCAGTATTGTTAACTAAACAATTCCAATTTAGTCTCAGGGGAAGAACGAGTTCTAAATGATTGTCAAAATGGAATGCTAATAAAGATGAACATTTCGAGATTTCAAGATTTTTAGTGGAAATTACGAAATATCATATTTCTAACAGCAAAAACGTTACTTTGGACGAAAGCTTACTTTAGAGCATAGAAAAAGAGAAATGATGTCACATACAACTCTTACCGAATTTGCAGTTTCAGTCCATAAGAATTTTGAATGTCCATTATGTCACGTTGCAGAAACATTTGGTGACACTTTCCTCTAGAAATTTCTTTCCTTTTTTTACGGTTTTAACTTTGAAAGCTCTATTTGAATAGTGGCATCTTGAAGGCGAATGTTCCAGGACGCCTAATTACTGAGTGCTTCAGTTTCACAAACTAATTGCACAACCTTCGATAGTCGTGTTTGTTTTCGCTCCGCGTTTTTGAAACAAAGAAGCTTTAAGTCTAAAATTATACATCAAAAGAATGCAATCCTCCAGGGAAAATTTCTCGAAGCTGTTCAAAACATTGGCACAGTAGGTGTTTCATGAAGTCTGAAAATTCTCCTACTTGACGCTTTAATCTTCTGACTGGCTTGAAAACATTCGATTCATGTTTTACATAAAATGCGGTAAACCAAAAGCAGATTCGTTTGCAACAAACGCACAGGCGTCGCATTTATCAGTTGGAATTATTTATTGTTTTGACGGTTTAAAAAAATACAAATCTCACTGGGTCTCAATGGGGTGGTGGCTTTTACGGTTATCGGCTAAAATTTTGGCTCTTTTACGGCTATCGGTTAATTTTTTTCAGTTACGGTTAACAAAAAGTTAAAAATTAACTTCTTTTGTTTCAAAAAGTTATTAACCTGTATTTTTCGTATCTTTAAATCAAAATAAAGGTCTTCGGATCATCTCGGGATGAAACAAGTTATTCTTCTGAAAAATTTTAGCACCTGATAGATCATACATTTTATAAAGTATTTCACTTCTAATATTATTTTACACATAGAAATGTCAATATTCATTTTAAAAATAATCTTTGTGAAAAAGCAAAAGCGGACACGCAAACGCCCAACTCAAGGCTGGGGCGCGACATTCATTATAACAGAAAAGGCCGTTTTCACTAGACGTATTATTTGTGTGAGACGAGTTATCCGTTTGATGATTCGCGTCAGATAGGTAATAATTCTTAATTTGAAAATGGAATAGTTTTAACTTTGAATAAACAATCCGCCTGACTTTATCCGTCAATTTCGACGGACAGTTTGAAGACGGGATTGATTATCCGTTCCCGGATAGCCTGTGTACAGCCGCCCCCTCCCCTCACAAAAAATCGTAGAAGGGTGTCTTTGGGGAGGGCGCGACTGTACACAGGCTTGTCTCAGACGGATAATTCATTTTTTCAATGATAGCGAAGGACTGTACGGAACGACTGTCTGCCGTTGCCTTGTCCGTAGGCCTCATTATTCCGCGCGGCTAATGCGTTTCGGGTCACGTGGTCCTAGCGAGTTCGCGACGGAAATGCCTTGACCGAGATTGCGTAGGAAGACACCGTACAGGGACTAGGCATGGCAATGTCTACTGTAGCGTCAGAGAAAAACAGGGAAATGTTGTTTGTCGGCAACTTGTTTTACAAACAGTGATATCTCTGCGTGTTGTTTCATTAGTGTTTCGAGAGCACGACCTCCTGAAAATCGCAAATATTAATCCCCAGCAAGAAGCCACACTTTCGCTATGGAAAAAATTAGTTCCCCGAGAGAGTGGCGGAATTGGAGCCAAGGTCTTGGTCAACACCTAAAAGGCGCTTCGCCTAACTTGCGTACGAAGTCACACTAGCCGGGAAATAAAAAACGCAACCATAAGTGAGTTTAGTACCTCCCTTAAAAGCAGCAAATCTAGGGAACAGTTTCTTTTACGGTTAACTATTTTTTACTCTATTTACGGCTAACGGTTAAAATTTTTCAATTTTTACGGCTATCGACTAAATTTTTGGCTGTTTTACGCCCATCGGTTAACCCCATTGAGACCCTCGATGTTATAGACACGAGTGTTTTACTGGAAAATATACCACTCGTAAAATTCATAAAAACTACATCCGGGACCCGAGTGGTTTATTTTCCATAATCTCACACGTGAGTTTATCGATGACGTAATTTCGGTCATTTCCTTCTAATTATTTTATCGATGTCTTTTTGCCTATATAATAAAAAGAACATTACACGGCGGCTTGAAGATATTAATTTTATTTTCGAGTGACAAAAACAGTATTTTACTCACTCGCTGCGCTCGTTCGTAAAATATTGTTTCGCCACTCGAAAATAAAATTCATATCTTCGCGCCACCGAGTAATATCCTCTATTTCTTCTTTAATTTAAAGGAATTGGTATTCTTATTACTCCCGTGTACGTGTTTGGTGCAGACTCGATACCAGTTCATCCAGGTGGTCTGGGTCAGTTATTCTGCCGAATGATATATTCCCAGTACCTAGTTTTCACTTTGGGTATTGTGTCCGTGTATACAGTGACGTCAATGGCTATTGACAGATGGCTCGCTGTAGCTCGACCGACCAAATACAAAACAGCGCTGACGAGGCTTCGCGTCAACATCTGTGTTATGTTCATTTGGGCGATTTCCGTTCTGCTAAATACACCCCATCTCTTTGAAATGAAAGCTGCAACTGATGTTGATGGGAACAAAAAGTGTATGTGGATTGTTCTCACGACGGGAACAACAAGAAAAGTCGTTGCAGTTTTAGAATTCTTGGGCAAGTTCTTTCTCCCTCTTCTTACCGCTTCAGTTACCATGATAAGCCTCAACAACCGTGTCAAGTTATCACCAGCTCTCTTCCAGTCAAACAGAGGTAGGGCTGGATTGCGTTTACTACGCATGTGTATGTTAACTACGTTGGTGCTTGGAGTATGCTGGTTTCCTAACCAGTTGTATTATTTGTTGTTTAAATATGACATAACTCAGTTGGACACACCCATGCATCACTTTACTGTGGTACTTTGTATGTTCAACTCTTGCATCAACCCCATAATATACTGCACTAGCAACAGATCTTATCGAAAGCAATTCAAGCTTCTGCTATGTCCATGGTACAGGGACAGGGTCACGAATCTGGAGCTTACAGGCAGTGACGTTGGCAGCGCAACAAATGACCAGATCAACAAACTTTTTGCACGTCCCGCGTTCGATGTAACAAGAACGACGTATACTTGAACTGCTAATGCGCCAATGAACAAAAAGTGTTTAAGTAATGATACAACTATACTTGTTGTATGAGATACAGACATGTGCTAAGGATGTCTTGTCACAGTAGTTAGTTTTAACGGTTAGTTTAGTGACTGGAACTTGTAACCCCTTATTACCTCCATTTAACCCCGTAAAATCTCTTGTAACCACCTCTTGTAACCCCCCTGTAACCCCTTGTAATCCCTTGTAATTTCTTGTTACCCCCTGAAACCCCCGTAGCCCTCTGTAACCCCTTGTAACCCAACAAACAAAACAATTAAAACACAGTGTGAACAAATTTAGATGTTTATTGGTTACATATCAGCCTATTTTTAACAAGTGCCCTTGAAGATCATTTAAAGGCAACACCTTTGCCATAATTTCGTTTTTAAAATTGCGCACCTAACTGGCGCATTACTAAATGTACGTTTAGTCCCAACTCCGTTTTAATGCTGAGGCAATTTTTGCCCTGTTTGTTCAAATTCTTTTTTCAGTTCTTCGTACTGCTCTGCCGTCATCATTATGTCTCCTTCAAATGCATCAACTCCATTCCCTTTAAAAAATCACAAAACATTAAGATCTAATTCATATCTGTTTTGTCGTGATCTTAACGTAACATCAATGTTTTCTGGTCTTTTACAAATGTGTGTTCACTTGATAATACTGGTTTGATTCTTTACTGATTCATGTATCATGTTATTCTTCAGCTGCAAATAAATTATTCTGTATCAATTTTGATCTTTTCGGTCATCATATCCAACAACAGGAACGTTGTCTTCAAAAAATGAGAAAATTTTACCTGGACTTTTTCCGATGACCATATATGTTGGCAGCTCTGTGAGATAATGACATGATGAAATTTACTGAGTTTTCCGTTAGCCGCCATTTTGACGCCACGTCAAGTCGGCTATATTGATTTACCTTAAAAGGAAAGGCGACCATATCGTCCTATTGAGAGAATCTAACTCTAATCATGAATTCAAAGTCCTTTTTTTTCATAACCGCTGAATATCGAGGAAGGTGCTTAAGTCTTCTAAATCAGGGTGATATTACATGATAAAAAAGAAGACTGTAAACACGAAGATCTCGAATCTTCGAAAAAACTTGGCGGGGGAAGAGGGAGACGGAGAGCAGGGGGCTCTAACCAAAACTCCTGCAATGTACCTGAAGTTTAAACCTACTTTGATTAACTTCGATTTCATTCAGATTTTCATCATCCTCTTGCTCTTCCTCCTCTGTTAAAGGAATTCCTTCGTCACGTGTGCTCTCTGTGCAATAAATAATCAAATATCCGTATTTATCAGGTATGTTATCCGCCACGATTTATTACCCCTAAATACTGTCCTACTAAAGTGACACTAATCATATGCCATTAATCTAGACTGATAATCGATCATTTCGATAACTGAGGGTTAGCTGGGAGACTTACAGAACATTGAAAATTATCACGTCGATATCATATATTATTAGTAATATACGACAAAATTCACGTGCATGGTCTTGCGTTGCTAAGAGAATATCAGCAAACGAGTGAATTAATTCACAATATCATCCGGAGACCAGTTTTTAAATTTAAAAAACAATACACGATAAATTTACAACAATTTTAATGAGTAAGTCCCCGTTACTTCCTTTAAAGGTATTAGCACCCATAAATTTTTAGAAATCTAAAGAATCTAAATGTAAATGATATCAGATATAACTGTTAATAAGTTTCATTTAACTAGTCACGTTCACAGAAAATTAATTTAGTAAAAATACAAGAATAAATGATTTGTAGCAATCAGATTGATGAATACTATGGACATTATTATAGTATAAGGCTTTTCCTTGGACCCCTGAACGTAAAACCACAATTTATAATACCAAGTATATGTCTTCTTTATGTACGTGTCAGTTTGACACGTACATATACTTCAAGGCAATTCTACTGAAGTCACCTTAAAGCCTTTAAACACCTTTAAGCGCTTTGGTCAATTAGTGGAGTTAGCGCTATATAAATTATGTTATTATTATTATAGTTCGAAAAACCGAGTGAATTAAAATATAAACCGTCCAGTAACAACCTGCAAGGTTTTATTAACTGATTACAGTGCTGACTGTTACTTCTAAAGCTAGGAGAAGAAAAAGGCCCGTTATCATGAAAATTTGTTGCGTGTTTGAACATGGCGTTTGACAGTATAGAACATTCAACTAGAGAAAAAACAAAAGTACGTTCTGATTTGCAATAATATTCATCTGTAAGGTGTGTATTTTGAATTTCACTATCAATAAGGAGCTTAACCCTTTAAACCCTAAGATCAAAATTTGAAGTCTCATTTGTTGCCCCTATTCATTTCCTATAGAAGTAGTGGGGAGAAGTTGATAAAATATCAAGCAAATTCATCTTGCGTGATCATGTCCGTAATTCTCATGACCGCTCTGTTGTACAAAGCATTGATATTACAAGGAGAAATTTGATGCTCATCACTCTTAGGGCTTACAGGGTTAAGCAAAGGCGTTTTTGAGCGACGCACTTCAACCTGAAGTAGGGCCTTTTATCGTTTAATATACCTTGAAACCACCACATTTGTTTTGCTGTCTTTCTTTCCTCTAGTACAGTCATTTCGCCTGAACATTTGGGCAAAAACATTGCCCACGAATGAAAAAAAGTCCACTTCCGGTTAACGTGCGCCGCTCAAAAACGCTGTTGCTTAAGCTCCCTAATAGCAGCGGAAGAATACAGTGTTCTTGCAAATGACAATATCCGTTTAGGACAAATAAGGTAGTGCTCGCACAGTCAACCAACTCCATCGGCGTGAAGATAACCATTATCGATGAAAAAAATCTGAGGCCTAGGCCAAACCGCAAACTTTTCAAAAGATGAACCAAACGCTAATTTGGGTCGACCTAAAATAAGTTAAGATCGTCTTTTGGGTCAGAAGTCGAATTTAGGACGCCTCGAACCAATCAACTGAATCCTATTAAAACGCAATTTTGATAAATTTTCTCTTTTATAATGAGGCTAATTATACATTATCATACAAATTTTAACTTATAAGTTTGTAGTTCGTCGCATGTGAAGATGGACGTTTGTCCCGGAGACGATTTTCAGACGTTCTATCAGTCTGAAGCAGACGGATAGAACGGTGTTGGAAGATCCGAATCATTTTAAGACGAACTTAACGGAGCCAGACGTCGAACTTTTCATGAATTTAACTCACCAAGTTCGGTTCGTCTCATGAATAGCTCGATATTTTACCTAGGCCTGAGCCTACGAGGCCTAAAATTTTGTCACTGATTCTACAGCTAAAATATTCTAATTTCATTCAAAAGAAAGACGTGGATGACAAAATGTGTTTTTACGGAGAAATGACGGATACGATTCACTAAAACCTACATGTACAAGGCAAATGGTATTCGTTGTGCATTCTCCGCGTAAAATTCGAAAAAGAAGAAGGTATTAATAATATTTAATTTCCTTCAGCAGTGAATTCTGAATTTTTCTGCTTTTGTTTATTCAACTCCAAGAGTGATTCCGAGTGAAATTAACTATCAGCAGAATACAAACACGATAGTTTAACCTGCCTTAATGAAGTTCAAAAAATTTTCTAAATTTCATAAAGAAATGTATGGTTCTTTGCTTTACTGTACCTTGAAAATCATCTTCGGTGCTGGTGGCCACGCAAGGAAGGCAAAAAAGAATAAGAAGAATAGTAGTGACTTTCATGATTTGCAGCCTTAAAGTTTTCAACACGTAAACGTATATATTTTACATATCTGTTTAAATGCAGGAAAAGACTTGACACCTCATCTGTCTCAGGTGCATTTGCTTTCTTTGCAGATTTTAAATCAGCCAGCCAATCAGGCTGCTTAATGCTGAATTAATTTGAATGACAATGTGAATTACGGAGGGAAAAAGGGCAAATTTTTGTCACTAGCTAGCCGTTTTACGTTACAAGGTGTAGATAAATTGAGTTAAGTTACTTCCGCCAAACGTCGAAAATGAGACGAACCAAACTCTAATTTGGGTCGACCTAAACAGCCTAAATTCAGTTAAGATAAAGCAATTCACTTTCCTTTACCGAGGACCTAAAATCTGGAATTCGTTGCCTGTTTCACTAATTAGCTCTCCTTCTATATTTGTTTTTTAAAAAAATTTAAAGAATTATCTCACTGACAGCCGATCTGTCGCTTAATTTTCTGATCTTGTTCATTCTGCACTCAGCCATGAATTTAGTTCACTAGGTAGTTGAAGGAAGCCTATTAATATAAGCTTCAAGTTTCGTTAGGCTTCCTTGTCAGATTAATTTTATAATTTAATTAACAACTTTTATTCATGTTGTATAAGGTTTTGTGAGTGACTAAATAAATGATAACATAATAATAATAATAATAAAAGACCGTCTGTTGCGTCAGACGTCGAGCTAAGGACGCTTCGATCCGATCAAAAAAACTGAATCAGATCAAAAAGTAATTTTTGTTGAGCAATAAATTTTCCCTCGAACTAGGCTAAAAAATATACATTATCATATGCAATTTTAATATATTAGTTTAGTTCGTGGCATGTGAAAATCAACGTTTGTCCAGGAGACGATCTTTAGCCGTCCTGTCCGTCTGGAGCAGAAGGATAGAACGTGTTAGGCCTGCGCCAAACGCCGAGCATTTCTTGAAATGAACCAAACTTCGTGAGTTAAGTTTATGAAAAGTTCAACGTCTGTCTCAGTTAAGTTCGTTTGAATGAGTTTGGATCGTTCCATCCGTCTGCTTTAGATAGAAAGAACCTCTGAAGATCGTCTCCGAGACAAACGTCCATCTTCACACGCGAAGAACTTTATAAAAGGAGCAAATGGCTGCCTGCGCCCCTGCAGGTAAACACTCGCTTACACATATGGAGCCTGCAAAGCAGACATTAGTTTGCAGTACGTGCGAATGATTTTGACGTTGAAACTTACCAAGAGATAACGAGTCAAAAATTATTCCAGGGAGGAGATTGACAGGTCAAAATGGAACCCTAAAAGCACCCCTCCCCCTCCCCCTCCCCCTTTCCTGTCCCTTTTCCCTTAAGTTTTCCAATGATATGGTGGCCCCAATCAATGTACCTCTGTTATCAGTAAACCGTAAAACAATGCAAATATGAAAGCATCTCTTAAAGGGCATGCGCTTATGATGTATGACGTCATTGTAATCGAAGACCGCTATTCCTCCAATGATCAGCCGCAGTTTTCAAAAGTCTCATTTAGAGGACCGTTTTTGAAAACGCCATTTACGTGTGTGGACGAAGCGTGAAAATCAGAAACGCCCCGATGATATGGACACAAATGGGGCGTGCCATAGCCGGTCCGAATTAGGCAGGCTCTCATGGTCAGAAAAAGAACGTCATGGACACTTGTTTTTTAGAAGCTAAGTAACGACTAAAGCAAACATTTTTTAAGTTTATAAACAGAAAACGTTTTTTAATTTCTAAACTGTAACTGTAACAAATTTATGCTAAAAACCTCGTAATTGTTTATCAAAGTCTCAGACTAAAATTACTTGGTACTTATTTTTGTTGAATTACGACTGCCCCCTC